GTGGATGGTGGATATAAGTGGATGGCAAGAGAAGGTGATAAGCATGGGATAAGAGAGAGATGATGTTGATAAGGGGAAATAGAGATAGAGAAAAAGATAATGGAAATTGAAAACAAATTTGGATGGGAAGGAATGTGAGGGAATAAAAGAAAAAGAAAAAAGAGAGGATAGGAAGAAGAAAGAAAGATAAGGGTAGGAGAAAATGAAGAAAAGGAAGAAGAGGAAGAGGCGGAAGATGAAGATGAATGAGGAGGAAGATGATTAGTAGGGTGGAAAAATAGAAAGAGGAAGAAGGAAGAAAGACGAAGAAGAAAAGGATGAAGAAAAAAAAGGAAGGAAGAAGAAAAGAAGCAGAACCAGAAAAAACAAAACAAAAGACGACTAAAACAACAACAACAAAAGAGACGAGGCGAGCATCGAAATGAGACATTTTGGGAAGAAGGTGATTTTTGAGTGGCACAAAAATGGCCGACTCGAAGGAAAATAATTATTTAATGGAACAGTTTACCGAGAACCTTTGTTACGTAATGGAATTTGCAGAAGGGAGCAGGAAGTTGCTACGGGCGAATGGGATTAACATGCTACGGATTTTAATGTAGGAATTAATGGGTATTTGTGCCTCTCTTTTGTTTATTCTTCTCTCCCTCTCTCTCTCTGTCTTTCTCTCTTTCTTGGTCTTTCTTTCTCTCTCGATCTCTCTCTCTCGGTTTCGGCTCTCTCTTGCTTCTTCTTCTCTCTCTCCTTCATTGAGCTCTCTCTCTTCTCTCTCTCTCTCTCTTCTCTCGTCTTCATCCCTCTCGTCTCGTCGTCTTTTCTCTCTCTCTCTCGGCTCTCTCTCTCTTTCTCGGTCTCTTTTCTTTTGGTCTTCTTTCTCTCTTTCTCTCTTGTTTCATCTCTCCTCTCTCTCTCTCTCCTCTCTCCGTCATCTCTCTCTCTCTCTCTTCTCTCTCTCTCTCTCTCTCTCGTCTCTCTCTCTCTCTCTCCTCTCTCTTCGTCTCTCTCTCTCTCTCTCTCTCTCTCTCTCTCTCTCTCTCTCTCTCGCTCTCGCTCTTTCTTTCATCCACTTTAACCTCATCTTCATTATCTTCTCTTTCCTCCTCTTCCTATCTTTTTCCTCGACTTCCTTTGTCTATATAGCTCTAAATGTCCATACTGATATACATGACTTTATGTATATATACGACTTAATTCCTTCCGTACCATGCATTATATGTCTTGTATGCACACGTATGTATGTGTGTGTTAGCTGTGTATGTGCACATATGGTGTATCCATACCCCTATGTTGGCACACGTATGTAGTGTGTCTGGTTAGCTGTGTATGTGACATTGGTGTAATCCATACCCCTATTGGCATATTGTATGTGTGTGTTTAGCTGTGTATGGTGCCATCAGTGTGTATCCCATACCATATGTAGGCACACGTATGTATGTTTGTTAGCTGTGTATGTGCACATAATGGTGTATCCATACCATGTAGGTACACGATGTATTGTTTTTAGCTGTGGTATGTGCACATATGGTGTATCCATAATGTCCGTATGTATGTGTGTTAGCTGTGTATGTGCACATATGGTGTATCCATACTCATATGTAGGCACACGTATGCTGTGTGGTGTTATCGTGCACATATGGTGCCTCACACGTATGTATGTGTGTGTTAGCTCTGTGTGTGTGCACATAGGTGTATCCGGTCCGTATGTATGTGTTAGCTGTGTGTGGCAACATACTCCGTACTCCTATGTAGGCACACGTATGTATGTGTGTGTTAGCTGTGTGTGTGCACATATGGTGTATCCGTACTCCTATGTAGGCACACATACGACTCAACGAACATGGAAAAAAGAGCGAGCGAGCGAAGCAAGCAGTGCAAATGTGCAACAGACGAGTCAATGACACGTTGCAAAAGACAAAGGAGAGGTGGGAAGAGAGAGAGAGAGAGAAGAGAGGGAGAGAGAGAGGAGAGAGAGAGAGAGAGAGAGAAGAGAGAGAGAGAGAGAGAGAGAGAGAGAGAGAGAGAGAGAGAGAGAGAGAGAGAGAAGAGAGAGAGGGAGAGAGAGANCCTTCCATCCCTCTCACCTGATAGCCAGGTCCTCCCACCAGTCAGCATTTTCTGACCTGGCAGCCACCTCTTCACAGCACTCCGCCTTCTCTGACCTGGTAGCTAGCTCCTCCCACCAGTCAGCATTCTCTGACCTGGTACCCGCTTCTTCCCACTAGTCAGTATCCTCCCACCAGTAAGCATTCTCCGACCTGACAGCCACCTCCTCCGACCAGTCAGCATTCTTTGACCTGGCATCCAAATCTTTCCACCAGTCAGCATTCTCTGACCTGGTAGCCAGCTCCACTTACCAGTCAGCATCCTCTGACCCGGCAGCCACCTTCTTCCACTAGTCAGCATCCTATAACCTGGCACCAACCTCTTCACACCAGTCAGCATTCTCTGACCTGGCAGCCAACTCCTCCCACCAGTCAGCATCCCCGGACCTTGCACCCACCTCCTCACACCAGTCAGCATTCTCTGACCTGGCACCCACCTCCTCACACCAGTCAGCATTCTCTGACCTGGCACCCACTCCTTCACACCGGTCAGCATCCTCTGACCGTGTAGCAAGCTCCTCCCACCAGTCAGCATTCTCTGACCTGGCAGCCAGCTCCTTACACCAGTCACCATCCTCTGACCTGGCACGAGTATCCTCTTCATACCAATCAGTATCCTCTCACCAGGTAGCCAGCTCATCCCACCAGTCACCATTCTCTGACCTGGCACCCACCTCTTCACACCAGTCCGCTTTCTCTGAACTCGTAGCTAGCTCCTCCCACCAGTCAGCATTCTCTGACCTGGCACCCACCTCTTCACACCAGCCACAATCCAGTGACGTGGTAGCCATCTCCTCCCACCAATCAGCATTCTCTGACCTGGCACCTACCTCTTCACACCAGTCCGCCTTCTCTGACCTGGTAGCTAGCTCCTCCCACCAGTCAGCATTCTCTGACCTGGCACCAACCTCTTCACACCAGTCACCATCCAGTGACCTGGTAGCAACCGCCTCCCACCAGTCAGCATTCTTAGACCTGGCAGAAAGCTCCTCCGACCAGTCAGCATTCTATGACGTGGCAGCCAACTCCTCCCACCAATCAACATTCTCTGACCTTGCAGCCAGCTCGTCACACCAGTCAGCATCCTCTGACCTGGCACCTACCTCATCACACCAATCAGCATTCGCTGACCTGGCATCCACCTCCTCACACCAGTCAGCATTCTCCGACCTGGCACCCACTTCTTCACACCGGTCAGCATTCGCTGACCTGTCAGCCAGCTCCTTTCACCAGTCAGCATCCTATGACCTGGTACCATCCTATTCACACCAGTCAGCATTCTCTGACCTGGCAGCCAACTCCTTCAACCATTCAGCATTCTCTGACCTGGCAGACAGCTCGTCCCACCAGTCAGAATCCTCTGATCTGGCACCCACCTCCTCACACCAGACAGCATTATCTGACCTGACACCAACCTCCTCACACAAGTCAGCATTCTCTGACCTGGCACCCATTTCTTCACACTGTTCAGCAGCATGTGACCTGTTATCCAGCTGCTCCCACCAGTCAGCATTGTCCGACCTGGCAGCCAGCTCCTTCCACCAGTCAGCATTCTATGACCTGGCAAACACCTCTTCACACCAGTCAGCATCCTTTGACCTGGTAGCCACCTCTTCACACCAGTCAGCCTTCTCTGACCTGGCAGACAGCTCCTCCCACCAGTCAGCATTCTCTGACTTGGCAGCCAGCTCTTCCCACCAGTCAGCATTCTCTGACCTGGCAGCCAGCTCTTTCCACCAGTCAGCATCCTCTAACCTGACATCCACCTCTTCAAAACAGTCAGCATTATCTGACCTGGTACCCACTTCTTCACACCAGTCAGCATCCTCTGACCTGGTAGCAAGCTCCTCCCACCAGTCAGCATTCTCTGACCTGGCACCCACTTCTTCAAACCAGTCAGCATCCTCTGACCTGGTAACCAGCTCCTCCCACCAGTCAGCATTCTCTGACCTGACACCCAGCTTCTTCCACCAGTCAACAACCTCTGACCTGGCACCTAACTCTTCACACAAGTCAGTATCCTCTCACCTGGTAGCCAGCTCCTCCCACCAGTGAGAATTCTCTGACCTGGCACCCACCTCTTCTTACCAGTCCGCCTTTCCTGACCTGGTAGCTAGCTCCTCCCACCAGTCAGCATTCTCTGACCTGGCACCCACTTCTTCACACCAATCCCATTCCAGTGACCTGGTAGCCAGCGCCTCCCGCCAGTTAGCATTCTTAGACCTCCAGCCAGCTCCTTCGACCAGTAACCATTCTCTGACCTGGCAGCCAACTCCTCCCACCACTCAGCATTCTCTGACCTGGCACCCAGCTCCTCCCACAAGTCAGCATTCTCTGACCTGGCACCCAATTCTTCACACCAGTCCGCGTTCTCTGACCTGGTAGGTAGCTCCTCCCACAAGTCATCATTCTCTGGCCTGGCACGGACTTCTTCACGCCAGTCACCATCCAGTGACCTGGTAGCCAGCTCCTCCCACCAGTGACAATTCTCTGACCTAGCACCCACTTCTTCACACCAGTCAGCATCCTGTGACCTGGTAGTCAGCTCCTCCCACCAGTCAGCATTCTCAAACCTGGCAGCCAACTCCTTCCACCAGTCAGCATCCTATGACCTGGAACCAACGTCTTCACACCAGTCAGCATTCTCTGACCTGGCACCAAACTCCTCCCACCAGTCAGTATTCTCTGACCTGGCAGCCAACTCCTCCCACCAGTCAGCATTCTCTGACCTGGCAGACAGCTCGTCCAACCAGTCAGCATCCTCAGACCTGGCACACACCTCCTCACACAATTCAGCATTCTCTGACATGGCAGCCAGCTCCTTCCACCAGTCAGCATCCTATTACCTGGCACCCACCTCTTCAAACCAGTCAGCATCCTCTGACTTGGTATCCACCTCTTCACACCAGTCAGCATTCTCTGACCTGGCAGCCAGCACTTTCCACCATTCAGCATCCTTTAACCGGGAATCCACCTCTTCACACCAGTCAGCATTCTATGACCAGTCAGCCTTCTCTGACATGGCAGCCAACTCCTCCCATCAGTCAGCATTTTCTCACCTGGCAGCCAGCTCGTCCCACCACTCAGCATCCTCTGACCGGGCACCCACCTCCTCAAACCAGTCAGCATTCTCTGACCTTGCATCCACTATTTCACACCGGTCAGCATCTTGTGACCTGGTAGCTAACTCCTCGCACCAGTCAGCATTCTCTTACCTGGCAGCCAGCTCCTCCCACCAGTCAGCATTCTCTGACCTGGCACCCACCTCTTCACACCAGTCCGCCTTCTCTGACCTGGTAGCTAGCTTCTCCCACCTGTCCGCATCCTCAGACCTGGCACCCCTTTCTTCACAACGTTCAGCATCCTGTGACCTGGTAGCCAGAAGCTCCCACCAGTCAGCATTCTCTGCCCAGTCAGCATCCTATTACCTTGCACCCACCTCTTCACACCAGTCAGCATCCTCTGACCTGGTAGCCACCTCTTCACACCAGTCAGTCTTCTCTGACCTGGCAGAAAGCTTCTCCAACCTGTCAGCATTCTCTGACTTGGCAGCCAGCTCTTCCCACCAGTCATCATTCTTTGACCTGGCAGCCAGCTCTTCCCACCAGTCAGCATCCTCTGACCTGGTAGCTAGCTCCTCACACCAGTCAGCATCCTCTGACCTGGCACCCACTTCTTCACACAAGTCAGCATCCTCTGACCTGGTAGTCAGCTCCTCCCACCAGTCAGCATTCTTCTTTCTGGCACCCAGCTCCTTCCACCAGTCATCATTCTCTTACCTGGCACCCACCTCTTCACACCAATCAGTATCCTCTCACCTGGTAGCCAGCTCCTCTCACCACTCAGCATTTTCTGACCTGGCACCCACCTCTTCACACCAGTCCGCCTTCTCTGGCCTGGTAGCTAGCTCCTCCCACCAGTCAGCATTCTCTGACCTGGTACCCACTTCTTCACACCAGTCAGTATCCTCCCACCAGTAAGCTTTCTCTGACCTGACAGCCAGCTCCTCCGACCAGTCAGCATTCTTTGACCTGTCGTCCAAATCTTTCCACCAGTCAGCATTCTCTGACCTGGGAGCCAGCTCCACCTACCAGTCAGCATCCTCTGACCTGGCAACCACCTTCTTCCACCAGTCAGCATCCTATAACCTGGCACCCACCTCTTCACACCAGTCAGCATTCTCTGACCTGGCAGCCAACTCCTACCACGTAAGCATCCCCTGACCTTGCACCCACCTCCTCCCACCAGTCAGCATTCTCTGACCTGGCACCCACTCCTTTACACCGTTCAGCATCCAGTGACCGGGTAGCCAGCTCCTCCCACCAGTCAGCATTCTCTGACCTGGCAGCCAGCTCCTTCCACTAGTCAGCATCCTATGACCTGGCATGCACCTCTTCACACCAGTCAGCATTCTCTGACCTGGCACTCACCTCTTCACACCAATCAGTATCCTCTCACCTGGTAGCCAGCTCATCCCACCAGTCAGCATTCTCTGACCTGGCACCCACCTCTTCACACCAGTCCGCTTTCTCTTACCTCGTAGCTCGCTCCTACCTCCACTCAGCATTCTCTTACCTGGCACTCACCTCTTCACACCAGTCACCATCCAGTGACCTGGTAGCCACCGCCTCCCACCAGTCAGCATTCTTAGACCTGGCAGCAAGCTCCTCCGACCAGTCAGCATTCTCTGACCAGGCACCCACTTCTTCACAACGGTCAGCATCGTTTGACCTGGTAGCCAGCTCCTCCCACCAGTCAGCATCCTTTGACCTGGCACCCACCTCTTAACACCAGTCAGCATTCTCTGACCTGGCAGCCAACTCATCCAAACATTCAGCATTCTCTAACCTGGCAGACAGCTCGTCCCACCAGTCAGAATCCTCTGACCTGGCACCCACCTCTTCACACCAGACAGCATTTTCTGACCTGACACCAACCTCCTCACACTAGTCAGCATTCTCTGACCTGGCACCCACTTCTTCACACCGGTCAGCAGCATGTGACCTCTTATCCAGCTGCTCCAACCAGTCAGCATTTTCTGACCTGGCAGCCAGCTCCTTCCACCAGTCAGCATCCTATGACCTGGCATACACCTCTTCACACCAGTCAGCATCCTCTGACCTGGTAGCCACGTCTTCACACCAGTCAGCCTTTTCTGACCTGGCAGACAGCTACTCCCACCAGTCAGCGTTCTCTGACTTGGCAGCCAGCTCTTCCCACCAGTCAGCATTCTTTGACTTGGCAGCCACCTCTTCACACCAGTCAGATTTCTCTGACCTGGCACCCACTTCTTCACACCAGTCAGTATCTTCTGACCTGGTAGCCAGCTACTACCACCAGTCAGCATTCTCTGACCTCGCACCCATTCCTTCAAACCAGTCAGCCTCCTCTGACCTGGTAGCCAGCTCCTCCCACCAGTCAGCATTCTCTGACCTGGCACCCAGCTTCTTCCACCACTCAACAACCTCTGACCTGGTACCCAACTCTTCACACAAGTCAGTATCCTCTCACCTGGTAGCCAGCTCCTTCCACCAGTCAGAATTCTCTGACCTGGCACCCACCTCTTCACACCAGTCCGCCTTTCCTGACCTTGTAGCTAGCTCCTCCCACCAGTCAGCATTCTCTGACCTGGCACCCACTTCTTCATACAAGTCACGATCCAGTGACTTGGTAGCCAGTTCCTCGCACCAGTCACCATTCTCTGACCTGGCAGCCAGCTCCTCCGACCAGTCACCATTCTCTGACCTTGCAGCCGACTCCTCCCACCACTCAGCATTCTCTGACCTGGCACCCAGCTCCTCCCACGAGTCAGCATTCTCCGACATGGCACGGAGTTCTTCACGCCATTCACCATCCAGTGACCTAGTAGCCAGCTCCTCGCACCAGTCAGCATTCTCTGACCTGGTAGCCAGCTCCTCCGACCAGTCACCATTCTCTGACCTGGCAGCTAACTCCTCCTACCACTCAGCATTCTCTGACCTGGCACCCAGCTCCTCCCACCAGTCAGCATTCTCTGACCTGGCACGGACTTCTTCACGCCAGTCACCATCCAGTGACCTGATAGGCAGCTCCTCCCACTAGTCAGCATTCTCTGACCTGGAACCCACTTCTTCACATCGATCAGCGTCCTGTGACCTGCTAGCCAGCTCCTCCCACAAGTCAGCATTTTCTAACCTGGCAGCCAACTCCTTCCACCAGTCAGCATCCTATGACCTGAACCACCTCTCACACCAGAAAGCATCCTCTGAACGGGCACCCACCTCCTCACACAAGTCAGCATTCTCTGACCTGGCACCAACCTCCTTACACCAGTAAGCATTCTCTGACCTGGCACCCACTTCTTCACACCGGTCAGCATCCTGTGACCTGGTAGCCAGCACTTCCCACCAGTCAGCATTCTCTGACCTGGCAGCAAGCTCCTTCCACCAGTTAGCATCCTATGACCTGGAACCCACCTCTTCACACCAGTCAGCATTCTCTTACCTGGCAGCCAACTCCTCCCACCAGTCAGCATTCTCTGACCTGGCAGACAGTTCGTCCCACCAGTCAGCATCCTCAGCCCTAGCACCCACCTCCTCACACCAGTCAGCATTCTCTGACCTGGCACCCACTTCTTCACAACGGTCAGCATCCTGTGACCTGGTAGCCAGCTGCTCGCATCAGTCAGCATTCTCTGACCAGTCAGCATCCTATTACCTGGCACCCACCTCTTCACACCAGTCAGCATCCTCTGACCTTGTAGTCACCTCTTCACACCAGTATGCCTTCTCTGCCCTAACAGCCAGCTTCTCCCACCAGTCAGCATTCTCTGACTTGGCAGCCAGCTCCTCCCACCAGTCAGCATTCTTTGACCTGGCAGCCAGCTCTTTCCACCAGTCAGCATCCTTTAACGGGGCATCCACCTCTTCACACCATTCCGCATTCTATGAACTGGCAGCCAGCTCTTCCCACCAGTCAGCATCCTCTGACCTGGTAGATAGCTCCTCATACCAGTCAGCATTCTCTGACCTGGCAAAAACTTCTTCACACCAGTCAGCATCCTCTGACCTAGTAGTCAGCTCCTCCCACCAGTCAGCATTCTCCTTTCTGGCACCCAGCTCCTTCCAACACTCAGTATTCTCTGACCTGGCACCCACCTCTTCACTACAGTCAGTATCCTCTCACCTGGTAGCCAGCTCCTCCCACCAGTCAGAATTTTCAGACCTGGCACCCACCTCTTCACACCAGTTCGCCATCTCGGACCTGGTAGCTAGCTCCTCCCACCAGTCAGTATTCTCTGACCTGGTACCCACTTCTTCACACCAGTCAGTATCCTCCCATAAGTCAGCATTCTCTGACCTGACAGCCAGCTCCTCCGTCCAATCAGCATTCTCTGGCCTAGCATCCAAATCGTTCCACCTGTCAGCATTCTCTGACCTGGTAGTCAGCTCAACCTACCAGTCATCATCCTCTGACCTGGCAGCCAGCTTCTTCGACCAGTCAGCATCCTATGACCTGGCACCCACCTCTTCACACCAGTCAGCATTCTCTGACCTGGCAGCCAACTCCTCCCACCAGTCAGCATCCCCTGACCTTGCACCCACCTCCTCACACCAGTCAGCATTCTCTTACCGGCACCCACCTCCTCACACCAGTCAGCATTCCTTGACCAGGCACCCACTCCTTCACACCGGTCAGCATCCTGTGACCGGGTATCCAGCTAATCCCACCAGTCAGTATTTTATGACCTGACAGCCAGCTCCACCGACCAGTCAGCATTCTCTGACTTGACATCCAAAACTTTCCACCAGTCAGCATTCTCTAACCTGGGACCCACTCCTTCACACCGGTCAGCATCCTGTGACCTGGCAGCCAGTTCCTTCCACCAGTCAGCATCCTATGACCTGGCACCCACCTCTTCACACCAGTCAGCATCCTCTGACTTGGCACCCACCTCTTCACACCAGTCAGTATCCTCTCACCTGGTAACCAGCTCCTCCCACCAGTCAGCATTCTGTGACCTGGCACCCACCTTTTCACACCAGTCCGCTTTCTCTGACCTCGTACCTTGCTCCTCCCACCAGTCAGCATTCTCTGACCTGGCACCCACCTCTTCACACCAAACACCATCCATTGACCTGGTAGCCAGCGCCTCCCACCAGTCAGCATTCTTAGACTTGGGAGCAAGTTCCTCCGACCAGTCAGCATTCTCTGACCTGGCAAACAGCTCGTCCTACCAGTCAGAATCCTCTGACCTGGCACCCAACTCCTCACACCAGACAGCATTTTCTGTCCTGACACCCACCTCCTCACACCAGTCAGCATTCTCTGACCTGGCACTCACTTCTTCACACCGGCCATCAGCATGTGACTTGTTAGCCAGCTGCTCCCACCAGTCAGCATTGTCTGACATGGCAGGCAGCTCCTTCCACCAGTCAGCATCCTATGACCTGGCACCAAACTCTTCACACCAGTCTGCATCCTCTGACCTGGTAGCCACGTCTTCACAGCAGTCAGCCTTCTCTGACCTGGCAGACAGCTCCTCCCACCAGTCACCATTTTCTGACTTGGCAGCCAGCTCTTCCCACCAGTCAGCATTCTCTGACCTGGCAGCCAGCTCTTTCCACCAGTCAGCATCCTCTAACCCGGCATCCACCTCATCAAACCAAACAGCATTCTCTGACCTGGCACCCACTTCTTCACACCAGTCAGTATCTTCTGACCTGGTAGCCAGCTCCTCCCACCAGTCAGCATTCTCTGACCTGGCACCCACTTCTTCACACCAGTCAGCATCCTCTTACCTGGTAGCCAGCTCCTCCCACCAGTCAGCATTCTCTGACCTGGCACCCACTTCTTCACACCAGTCAGCATCCTCTTACCTGGTAGCCAGCTCCTCCCACCAGTCAGCATTCTCTGACCTGGCACCCAGCTCCTTCCACCAGTCAACAACCTCTGACCTTGCACCCACTTCTTCACACAAGTCAGTATCCTCTCACCTCGTAGCCAGCTCATCATACCAGTCAGAATTCTCTGACCTGGCACCCACTTCTTCACACAAGTCACCATCCAGTGACCTGGTAGCCAGCTCCTCGCACCAGTCAGCATTCTCTGACCTGGCAGCCAGCTCTTTCCACCAGTAAGCATCCTTTTACCGGGCATCCACTTCTTCACATCAGTCAGCATTCTATGACCTGGCAGCCAGCTCTTCCCACCAGTCAGTATTCTCTGACCTGGTAGCCACCTCCTCACACTAGTCAGTATCCTCTCACCTGGTAGCCCGCTCTTCCCACCAGTCAGCATTCTCTGACCAGGCAGCCAGCTCCTCCGACCAGTCAGCATTCTCTGATCTGGCATCCAAATCTTTCCACCAGTCAACATTCTCTGACCTTGTAGCCAGCTCGACCTACCAGTCAACATTCTCTGACCTGGCAGCCAGTTTCTTCCACCAGTCCGAAACCTATGACCTGGCACCCATCTCTTCACACCAGTCAGCCAACTCCTCCCACCAGTCAGCATTCTCTGACCTGGCAGCCAGCTCGTCCCACAAGTCAGCATCCTCTGACCTGGCACCTACCTCCTCACACCAATCAGCATTATCTGACCATGCACCCACCACATCACACCAGTCAGCATTCTCTGACCTGGCACCCACTTCTTCACACCGGTCAGCATCCTGTGACCTGGTAGCCAGCTCCTCCCACCAGTCAGCACTCTCTTTCCTGGCAGCCAGCTCCTTCCACCAGTCAGCATCCTATGACCTGGCACCTACCTCCTCACACCAGTCAGCATCCTCTGACCTGGCACCCACCTCTTCACACCAGTCAGTATCCTCCCACCAGTCAGATTCTCTGACCTGTCACCCACCTCTTCACATTAGTCGGCTTTCTCAGACCTCGTAGCTAGCTCCTCCCACCAGTCAGCATTTTCTGACCTGGCACCCACCGCTACACTCCAGTTACTATTAGGTGACCTGGTAGCCAGCGCCTAACACCAGTCAGCATTCTTAGACATGGCAGCCATCTCCTCCGACCAGTCAGCATTCTCTGACCTGCCAGCCAACTACTCTCACCAGTCAGCATTCTCTGACCTGGCAGCCAGCTCGTCCCACCAGTCAGCATCCTCTGACCTGGTACCCAACTCCTCACACCAATCAGCATTCTCTGACCTGCCACCCACCTCCTCAAACCAGTCAGCATTCTCTGACCTGGAACCCACTTCTACACTCCGGTCAGCATCCTCTGACCTGGTAGCCAACTCCTCCAACCAGTCAGCATTCTCTGACCTGGCAGAGAGCTCGTCCCACCAGTCAGCATCCTCTGACCTGGCACCCACCTCCTCACACCAGTCAGCATTCTCTGACCTAGCACCCACTTCCTCACACTGGTAAGCATCCTGTGACATGGTAGCCAGCTCCTCCCACCA